CCTGCCTTCACCTGCTGGCCACACTGCTCTGGATACAGCCCATGCTCATTGGTGTCTGCTGCAGCTGGGCCCTAGGAGCTGTGGTGAGAAGATGGAACAAGAAGCCACCACACCATGAGCTGGGGAGAGCCCCGCATCCTTCCAGCCCAAGGCTCGGTGCTCATCATGCTCGTCCCAGCTGGGGAAGGGATGCAGACCCTGGGAAGACACCTCCACTCTTAGCCGGGCTCCCATGTGGATACCTGTGGCCTGGAGTCACCACACAACATCAAAATAGGAGAAATAGGGTTTTCTCTAGTCCTCCCTCCCCACCCCAAAACGTGATTGCCGCCAGCACCCAGCTCCATCCAACCCAACACAGCATAACACGGGAAAATCAACCTTAACTCGTTAATCGTCATTAACATTGCAACACCAATGGCCCCCTTAGGCCGGAGCCCATACCAGCTAGAAGCTTAATTAATGCATGATTATTTTGACTTTCCAAAAGGTGCCTTTGGAAGGCACTGGATTTGTGTGTCCGGCAAACATACCTAGACCTGAGGCCATGGGGATGGCCTCGCCGGCCCAAGGAGGGAGGCAGCTCAGCACCTGCAGTGGCATGGCCTTCTCAGCATGGCCACAGGCAAGAGAACCAAGTCCTGCTAATAATTTAAGAGCATCAATTAATACAGTTTAATAAATACATAAAAGGATCTAGCCTCTTTTTTTCCATCCACTTTCTAGCATCAATGAAAGTTAAGGGTGATTGTCCCGTGAGTGACTAAGGCAAATTTGTTTGTGTCTGTGTGTGTTTCTCTCTCCTTTTCTCTTTCGATTTTCTTTTTTTCCCCCCGTTGTTTTGTACATAAAGCAATCACATAAAAATAGTTATAAATAGAAAAACTGCAAAGGTTTATCCCCCTAGACAAATAGGAAAAAAATCCCCATCCAGCCCAACAAACAAGTCGAGACAGAAAAAAAACACCTTGCTTCAAGTCCTTGTAGATTATACAGTACTCAGCATCTTTGGATACTTTACAATGACTCCAAATTGTAGACAAAAAAACACCTGAAGTAACCAGTCATCTGCAAAACGTCGCTTGTGTAAGAAGTTGACACGGATTTAAAAAAAAAGAAAAGTAGTTTGATGCAGTTTTAAGAAGTTTTCTTTTTTTTTTTCCCTCCCCCTCCATTGACTTGTTGCATGTGGAGTCTTTGTGGATTTCTTTCTGGAGGAGGAAGCAGTGTTGGGTGGTTCCTTGGGATCATTCTGCTATGGATGGCCTCAGAGCAGAAGACTTTCATGCCCCGTTCACGGCAGGGCTGTGGATCCTGGACCCCTTGTGTCCTCCCCATGCTCCAGTGGGGAGACCCTCATCCAGCCACCGCTTCAGTGTGGCATTGTCGATGGGCAAACCAACAAATTAATGAACCCGTGGTCCTCTCGTTCCCTTTGATTCCACTGACATTGAAAGGTAACAGTAAAACAGAAAGAAAAATCCCTAATTTGTAACATTTACACTTTCAAGCACTGGTTTTGGGTAAAACCAGCTCCCCAGGGCACCCTTCACAAGCCGTCTCAGCTGGTGGTGATACGGGTCCCATCATGTCCGAGAGGAACCGTCGGAGGCAGATGGCCATCAAAAGCCTTTATCCTCAAAAGTAGCTCATGTTTTAGAGGCTGAAGGAGACTGACAGGCCGATTCCAGCCAATCTGCCACTTTTTTTTGGCCTCAGAAGAAATATTGGATAGGGGTGGCCAGGCCAGGGTCTGCAGGGGTGCTGAGGAGGACCGCAGAGCCGGTGGCCACCATGGGCTACCTTCAGCTTGGAGCACCCCATCATATGTTACCACCTCATGTTTTGGACCAGTGAGTGGTGAAGAAACACTATCTCTACTTGCTTGCAAGTAGACAATCTCATATGCAAGATCTTAAGTGGACTTCTTTTCTACAAATATCCCTTGAGACAAACCACAGAGAAATTTGCACACCTAATTTTTTCCCATCGACATTGCAGATTCTGGGACACTCAAGTGTTTTGTGATTTTTTGTCATCAAAATATATATAGGAATTGGAAGGAATTAAGGACAGAACCCCAGGCATTTCAGAACGGTCACTGGCAGTGAATTCTGACTCTTTGGTTTGAAATGACTTGTTCATTTCAAAATTCTCACATGGTTCATTTTCACAAAGCAAGGGTTTAAAAAAACCTCAGGATTGAAACATTTTGGATTCTTTCAAAAATTTTCTTTCACCTTTTCAAGCAAATGAAGTTAAAATGCTCAAAATAGGGTTTGGTTGTCCTGAAATTTGGAAATGCCTCAGGAACCAAAATAAGTAAAATCCCCCTTTTCCACTCAGATTTGCTCCTGGGTGATTTTTTTTTTTTTTTTTTTTTTTTTAGGGTCCCAACCCATCCTGCACAGCAAGGCTTTCTCCAGCCCCACAAGTCTGATATACTACTGAGAAAGGCAATGGCCAGGGTCCTCCCCTCCTCAGTGTGGCTGTTTGTCTCTCCTTTTATCTCTTGTAGAATAAACTTTGTGGCCAGACATGGGAATTAATTAAAAAAAAAAAAAAAAGTCCTTTTGACCAAAAGGGCCAAGGAATGTAACATATCAAAACCAAGTCTGGACGGCTTGTTGGTGTCCAGTGGGCCCCAAGGGTGGAAAATGGGGGATATGTCCCCAAGAAAAGCCATCTCATGGTGATGGCCATGCCCTGGACTAAGGCAAATTCTATTTTCGGGAGCGTTGAAGAGAGCAGCAGTCCTGGCCTGGCCTTCCCAGGCAGAGCTGGAGGAGTGGGTGGCTGGATGGGGCAGTAAATGCCCCATGGCCCCAAAGCCAAGTGCATCCCAGAGTCTAAAGTGCCGGTGGCCATGGAGCGCAGCATCCACCCACCCACCTGCTCACCCCAGGGATGGGCCCATGCCCCAAGCCCCACGTCAGGCCATGGTGGCAAGGGGACGAAGAGCTTCTTGGGAGCCAGACGATGTGAAAGGATAGGCGGGGACCCCGAGGGAGCCAGTCACCCCCTTGGGAAGGGAGTGGACCCATGGTGGGACTGGTCATGGGTTTAGTTGCTTGTCTCCGGAATGGGAGCCACATGGCC